TTCTCTATTTATTGTTAAATTTAAATTTGGAGAGCTTGTTTAAATTTAGCGTCTGCTGTTTTGTATCTCACTGCATCTGACTGAATTCTTTGTTTTATTCTTTCTGTTTCTTTGTTTATCTGATTCAAGCTAAAGGCAGTTCAACTATTCAAGACTCAAGTACAAAAGAAGAGGTGATATTTACATCTGAACTTTTTGACAAGGTATGACAGCTTGCAGCATAATTTCTGGAAAAATATAAATTGATCTTGTTCCTTAGATCTTTAATGTGAAGGTGAAAAACATAGCATTCTAAAAAATGAAAGACGAGTGCAAATTATTCTTTTCTCTGTGGGAAAAGGGAAAATTTTCCTTTGACATTTTTTGGCATTGGAGACCAGTTAGTCTGGTTATACCTGCACCATCAATCTGCTTTCTTTCCTACATATCATAAATGCCACAGCTGTGTCTTACCTTATCCAAGTCAAATTTTAATGGTTACATTATGTACTTTTTAATTCACACTTTTTGCAGAAAATGTGAGCCTTTTAGGAGTTTTTTTTGGATCTTCTGGTACCATATCAATAACAATTTGAGCAGGTAATGGTATAGATGGACTAATGCTCCAGGAGGAAATGATGGTTAATTGTAAGTGCTAAAAATCAACAGTGAAAGTTTCCACCATCTTATTTCTTGTTTCATCCTTAAAATCCAAATTGTTTCTCTATGCATTAGGAGGAGCTTGCGGCTATGGAAATCCCTATGGCATAAAGTCTATGACAGAAACATAGTTGCATCAAGCACCGCTATATCTAATCATGGACTCATTGTTTCAGGATCATGCCTTGAGATTAAATGTATTAATTTGTAACAAAAATTGGTGCCTGTCACCTGCAGCCAACAGAGAGCAATCTTAGCCACAACAACACCCTATAAAGACTTTTGACCAACCCTTAATAGAATAGCAAATTTTAGTTATAAAATATAATTCTCTTTTTTATTAAAATACTAAAAATAACTTGACTATTTCTCCTCATAACTAACATAAAAATGGAGAAAGGTACGTTTATGCTTCTACTTTTGTTTGTTACATGGTTAGCACACATCTCATATATGCAATCTTCGTCAAGACAAATCTTAAAAAGGAACAAAATGCAACCATAATTGCTGAGCATGGACCTTTTCTCATCATCTTAAAAAATCTACTCATAAATATTTCTTTGTCATCCTTACAGATTGACTTACTTGTGCCTAGCAATGGAAATCGTGTCTATGGTTGTGCAACCTCTTTTATCAGCTTCTTTTGAGTGGCTGTTCCAAAAGTTGGATAATTTCACTTCCAGTCAATCCCACGGATTGCAAGAGGAGGTCAATGCGGAGCTCCAAAAATGGAAGTCCTTTTTACCACATATTTGTGATGTGCTCAGAGATGCAGAAGGGAAGCAAATGACTGTCAATTCTGTCAAGACATGGGTTGATGATCTCAAGGACTTAGCTTATGATATGGAAGACATTTTGGAGGAATTCACGACTTATGTCTTGAGGGGTAGCTTGATTGCAGAACTTCAACATGCCAGCACTACTAGCAGATGCGTCGCTGCATGCTTCTCCTGTTTCAAACATAGTGATTCAATGTTTGATTCTGACACCATTTCAAAAGTGAAGGCTATTTCTAATGGGTTGCAAACCATGGTAGACAGATCAAAAACATTGGGCTTATTGAGTTTAACTATGCAAGCTAGAGAACAGCCCGAGAGAGTAGATGCATCGAGGGTACCCACTAGTTCCCTGCCAGATTCTCATGTTTATGGACGAGAAACTGATAAAGTAGCTGTTCTTCGAAAGTTACTTAATAATGAAAGCAGTTTCCAAGGATATTCTGTAATTCCCATTGTTGGGATGGGAGGAATAGGCAAGACCACTTTGGCTCAACAAGTTTACAATGAAGTGGAGAAGGAAAGCTTTGAGCTTAAAGCTTGGGTCTGTGTTTCTGATCAATTTGATGTGTTGAGTATTACAAGATCCATTTTAGAGGCAGTATCTAGAGACCAGCGTGATTTGAAAGATTTGAATTTGCTTCAAGAAGAATTGAAAAAAATGTTATCTGGCAAGGGGTTTCTTCTTGTTTTGGATGACGTTTGGAACGAGGACTATGAACAATGGGATACTTTGCAAAAGCCTTTCCAATCAGGATTAGCTGGAAGTAAAATGGTAGTCACAACTCGTAGCGAGCGTGTTGCAGAAATCATGGGTGGGAAAGACAAGATTCACCGTCTAAGAGAGTTAGACTTCAAACAATGCTTGCCAATATTAACTCAACATGCACTGGGGGAAGACAACTTTGATGCACATCCAAGTTTAAGAGAAGTTGGAGAAGATATTGTCAAGAGCTGCAATGGATTGCCGTTGTTTGCAAAACTGCTCGGGGGCGCCTTACGAGGTAAGCATAGTCTTGAAGATTGGAAATACATATCAAACAATAAGATGTTGAATTTACAGGAGGTTAAATGCGGGATTCTGCCACCCTTGATGCTAAGCTACCATCATCTACCTTCTCATTTAAAGCAATGTTTTGCATATTGTGCTGTGTTTCCTAAGGACTATGAATTTGACAAGCAGGAGTTAGTTTTGTTATGGATGGCAGAGGGGCTTTTAAAACAACAACTAGGAGAGCAAAATCAGCTGGAAGAAATTGGTCAAAGAGATTTCCATGAGTTACTTTCAAGATCTTTTTTCCAACGGTCAAGCAGTAATAAAGTACGGTATGTGATGCATGACCTCATACATGATTTAGCTCAATTTGTTGCTGGAAGAACTTGCTACAATCTAGAGCATATATTGAAGGCTAGTAAGAAATCCAAAGTCAATGATGAGAAGGTTCGTCATTTGTCATTCTACCAAAGCCAATATGACATTTCTAAGAAATTTGAAGTTTTGAATGAAATGAAGACTGTGCGAACATTCATTAAAGTTCATCCATATTTTCAGCGGAGCCATTTAGCAAAAATAGTAGTGCTTGATTGGATACCAAAATTAAGGTGCTTAAGGGCATTATCTCTTGAGGGTTATAATATAAGAAAGCTACCGAATTCAATGAGAGATTTAAAATGCCTGAAGTACCTTAATTTCTCAGAAACTCTAATCAAAAGCCTACCTGAATCCATAGGCTCCCTTCTCCAATTGCAAACTTTGTCCTTATCATATTGTAGGAAGTTTTCAAAGTTTCCTGTGAAAATTGGGAACTTAATTAACCTCCATCATCTGAACATTAGGGGAACAGATTCCTTGAAAGAGATGCCATCTGGAATAGCTAATCTCAAAGATCTGTTGACACTGGGCAAATTTATTGTGGGGAAGGAAAATGGATCCCTGAAATTATCTGATTTGGAGAACTTTATGCAACTTGAAGGAGAACTATCTATTCTAGATTTGCATAACGTTTCAAATGCTCATGATGCTAAAAAGGCCAGCCTGGAGAAGATTGGTGGTCTTGATTGGTTGCTCTTGCAATGGACTTCTGAATTTGGCAGTTCTAGGAATGAAGACAAGGAAATGGAGGTCCTTAGCTGGTTAAAACCACATCTAAAATTGAAAAGTCTGTCAATTATTAGCTATGGTGGCAAGGAATTCCCGTCCTGGATTGGTTGTCCGTTATTTTCTAATTTATCATACTTGAAGCTGTGCGTGTGTAGAAGAAGCACTTCGTTACCATCACTGGGGCAATTACCAGCTCTCAAAGAATTGATTGTGGAAGGCATGGATGCAATAGAAACGGTGGATTCTAAGTTTTATGGGCATGGCACTTCTCAATCTCTTGAGAAGTTGGAGTTTCGTGACATGTTAATGTGGGAAGAATGGACTTCTACAACAGGAGATGGAGTGGGATTCTCATGTCTTCGAGAGCTTGTGATTGAAAATTGTCCTAAGTTGATAGGACAATTACCCAGTCAGTTGTCTTGTGTCATTAATCTTGTGATCAGAAGATGCCCAGAGTTAAGATGCCCGTCATCATCTATGAGTCTTCAGTCACTACAAAAGCTGAATATTGAAGACTGCAATGTGGCCCTTTTGAATAGCATGGCTGATCTCACTTCTCTTACTAGCTTAGAAATTAAGAGAATTTCAGGACTTGTTTGCTTGCCTAAGAGTTTTATTGAGTCCTTGAAAGCAGTTGAGAATGTGGAGATTGAAGACTGCCTTGAGCTTACTTGTTTAGGGGAGGAAGGTGCTGAGGCACAAAACCTTGCTTGTCTTGAGGAAATGAATATTGAAGGCTGTCCTCTGCTTGTTTCATTGACGGAGAAAGAACAGGGCCTTCTTCCTTTCAATCTTAAACGTCTCACCCTCTCAAACTGCAAGGCTCTAGAGTCATTAACTGAGGCGATGACGATGAAGGTAGATGGAAGCAGTAGCAGCAAAAACATGTTGAGACTTGAATCATTAAGCATTTACAATTGTGATTCTCTCAAGTCTCTACCCACCCCCACGGTTAAACACTTGATAATTGATGGATGTGCAAATTTTGAGTCTTTACCAAATGGAGTATTATTGCAAGATGATGGTGACAGCAATAGCAATCTTGAATCTTTGAGAATAGAGGGACTTCCATCTCTAAATTCTATTGGGACTGGTCATCTGCCAGCTTCTCTCAAGGAATTTATTGTTGAAGATTGCAAGAGGTTGGAATCATTTCCAGAGAGGATGCTGCAACATTGTACGGGACTTGAATTCCTTCGAATTTGGAATTGTGAAGTATTAAGAAGCTTATCATTTGATGGCCTCAGCAATCTTCGTGATTTGATCATTAGAAGGTATGCAGTTTTAGAATTCTTCCCCGAAATGGGCCTCTCCTTGCCCAATCTTAGGTCTTTGAGAATTGCAAATTGTCCAGGGTTGGAGCGCATTCCAGATGGGGGTTTGCCCCTAAACTTAACAGATCTTTGATTAGAAAATTGTCAGAATCTCAACTCCCTACCAAAGACAATGAATGAGCTTACATCGATTAAGAAACTGAGTATAACGAATTGTCCAGGCATCAAATCCATTCCAGATGGGGGTTTTCCCCCAAACTTAACAGATCTTGAATTAGACGGTGAGCATCTGAAGCAGCCGGCAGTGAAACGGGGCCTCCGCAATCTTACCTCTCTTCAAAGCTTTGACATTTATAAGACGTGTCCTCTTCCGGATATTGTGCTTCCTTCTTCTTTAATATCTCTGGAGATAAGAAATGCAAAGAATCTGAAATCCATACCCAGAGGGCTCCTCCAAAACCTCAACTCTCTTCAATCTATATGGATTCGTGAGTGCCCAAAGCTACGGTCCTTGCCGAGAAAAGGCCTGCCTCCGTCGCTTGAAATTCTCTGGATCTCTAACTGTCCGCTTCTAAAACGACAACGCTTTGAGGAGAAAGGAGAATATTGGTCTCTCACCCGTACCATCCCTTACGTTGAAATAGAGTATATAGAGGTAAAATCTACACTCAAACTCACACTCTGATGTAGAGACAAACAAGGATAGCCTCTTCTTCTTCTTCTTCTTCTAATTGTTGGAAGCTAACTTTTCTTACACATATTCATCAGCTATAACCACCAAAGCCAATTGTTACCTGAGTGAAATCTGGAATGAAGCTACAAACTTATTATTGAGGTATATCTCTTTTCTTTTTAATAGCTTAAATTATAATATATCTGCATATTGCTAAATTACTTCTGTTTTTATTGATAAATTTGGAGAGCTTGATTCCCTTCCCAACTCTTCAGCTTCAGATAAAATTAAGGTGGCGGCTATATTAACGCATCTTACAAATTAAGCTACAGACTTATTATTGAGGTATATACTTTCCTTTTTAATAGCTTAAATTATATCTGCATGTATTGTTGCACTACGTACTTCTTTATTTATTGATAAAAATTTAAATTTGTAGAGATTGATTTGCTTCCCCACTCGTCATTTAGTTATTTCAGATTGTTGGAAAAGGGAATTTGAGTGATTTGCACT